TAATCGAGCAGCCCTAACTTTGGGTATTCCCTGGCCCCCTCTCTATACATGTGTATAATTATTCTTTGTTTTCTTCACCCCACAGATTAGGTGCGCTTTATTTCTTTTAGTTTGTTTCTTTTGTCTTCCTTTTTTGTATTTTTTGTTTGCATGTACTACAAAGTTGGAAAAATGTACAAAATAAAAAGTAAAAAAAAAAAAAAGACTGAGACTTGCATCAGGCCTGTCCCCCACTCATGGACTGCGGGGACAGAGAATGGAGATCAAGCACAGGCGTCAATAAGTCACCCATGCCTGAAATTAGAAAATAAGAGTTGCCCCAAAACATGCCCCATGCTGGGAGTTTCTCAGAGAGACGGTGAAGAAGTGGAGAAAAATATTGGCCAGGTGAAAGCAGGAGGACAACGCGTGCTGAATGAATAAAGCTGTGCGAGATGTGTTTTTGAAGGGACGGAGAAAAACTGGAAGTAAAGACAGGAACAGGAAGTATTGGACTTGTCTCTTTCGCTCCATTACGGTTTCATTTTTGTTACCGTGAGTCATAATCTTGTCAGTGTAAGTTAAGACTTTTCTTAAATCATGTCATGGTTTGTTGGTACTCAGATGCCCTTTTTTGGGTGGGTTTTAAAAATGACTTTTTATTCAAAAGAAGTGCAGTTATCTTTAAAGTTTGCTCACTCATTTCCTGATGAAGTCCTTTTCCTGTCACAACTGAGGTCATGTCTTTAGGAATTTGATAAAGGGATTTTTTCACTTTGTCACCAATAAATACTTTGTCTGCTGCGTCTGAGTGTGATGATAAAGGATGGCTGCTTTGCAGAGTGACGTCCTTCATGCCCCCACCTTCTCTCTCTTTTTTCCAGGGTGGGTTTTTTTCTAGTTGTGCATCCTCTGTCTGGGCTCCTTGTAATTGCATCACTATATGCATCACAGACACTATTTACAACTGAGCGTGCCATTTGCCTGTAATACCATTCATCTTCATGCACTGTTTAATGGCTTGTTGGTCTCAAACTTAGACACACAGGCTCTGGATACAAGTAATATTTAATATATGCATGCTATATAATTTAATGTAACGTGGAAAAGCAACAACTAAGGAGCATTAACAACCTTCAGCCTTTAAGACTGCTGCATGCTGTGGTAGAAAAGTAAAATAACAAGCCACTGCTGCATGTTCTGCCCGTCTTGCAAGCCATAGACTGTATATAAAAGATGGACACAGCTTTCCGATGTGAAAAGTAAAGCCAGCCTGGAAATCTACTTTCAAGATTTATTGAAAACAATAAGATGTTCATTTTGTAAACTGTGGACCCAATAAGAGGGAAATAAGGATAAAGCATAAAACGTTTATGACTGGATCAACCTTGTGATTGACGAGTCACTATTGTCGCCTCTGTCAGTGCGCCCCAGGGTGGCTGTGGCTACAATGTAGCTTGCCATCACCAGTGTGTGAATGGGTGGATGTTTGGACGTGTAAAGCGCTATACAAATACAGGCCATTTATTGTATGAGTGGCCATTGGAAGCAACAGTGAAAATGACGAAGGGTTCAAAACAGTCAAGTCCAGCTGATAAGTTAGCGATCCACCCTCTTCTTCAAATATGGCCACTGCTGGCTATAAAAGGGGGAAAACCAACATGGCAACATGGAGTCCTAAGCCAGCCGGTAATATGATAGCTGCTTTGGTTATTTATTTGTTTATTTATGGCTCCAGTCTTGCCTCCCATGGATAGGACTAGACTTTGTACAAAAAATTATCTCAAAAAGTCTGAAATTAAAGGAAACGTGAAGTCCTAGTCTTAGATTCCATGTAAAATTTCTGTATAACAGTGCTGGTGAACTTTATAATATATAAAGTTTCTGTTTTATGTCAAATTGTTTAACATTGTAACTTTAACAGAAATATTCAGCTTATTGTCATGCGTGAAGAAAAACGGCATACTTGGTGTTGCACTAATTTCTGCCCTGTCATAACTAGCAGTATGATATCTTGGTCTTCCTTTGTGTTTACTGAGGTCTTAAAATCCCTCCTTTGCACCCAGAATGCAGGCAATGGACAACAGTTTGAAGATGTTCTTTTTACCTGTAGATGGCGCATATTAACACACCTACACCTCCTAGGTTTAAACTCTTTTAACCCCCCCCATCTTGCATTCAGGTGGTACAGTTTGGACTGTAGGTTCAGACCACAGACTGCATATAAAGTCGATGGCCCAGATTTGCAGTTTTGAACCTGCTCTGCGGTTAGATGATAATCAGTGGGTTCATTCTAATGATGTCCTTGTTATTACTGTACCTAACTGCACAGTGGGGGCAACGCACCACAGGCAATATGCTCACATGGAGAAACAGTGTAACGGCTGCTGACATTGTAAGCGCAGCTTCCCACTAATGTGGGTTAAATATCTGGAACATACTGCAGCCTCATTACTATTCAAGCCACATGCAGCCTCAGACAACTGCCTGCTTCCTTAATATTATCTCCTATTACTGTTATGCCTGTGAGCATATTAGTGGCTTCTCCAGCTGCTCCTGTGTTGTTGTTTCTGTGTGTGTGTTCGTGTGCATCTTTTAGGCGCCTGTCAGCTACGGTCCAGTCGTCACCAATGTTGTAATCCCATAAAAGCTGACAATGAGGCAAACCAGCCTTGAAACGACACGCACGCTGAGACATAGTCGGTGTCGGCGCTCGGCTCGAGCTGAGTCCGTGACATGAGAGATGAGAGGAATAACCTATTCAGTGTGCTTTGTCAGTGCCTGTGTTTCATGCAGTGTAAAATGGAAAAGATAGGAAGAAGAGATTGGATTTCTGCAGGCGTACAGTGGGAGTAAGCATCTGTGCGTGTGCCCGAGTGTGTTTTATGGCGAGCTGCATATCCTAGCCGACACAGAGTTTGCTCTAGGGGGGATTTTCTTTGGCTATGTCACATGCTGCACGTGAGTAGCAGAGGTTGGGGGCAGGCATTATGCAAGATACTCTTTAAAAAGAAATACATACACATCCCAGAAGGTGCCACTCCTTCATCGTAGTGTTTAATGGCTTGGGAAATTGCTGTTACCGGTGGGGCCTGGGCAGTATTGAGATACTGGGATGATGAACACCACCTGCTGTGCTTCACTTCAAAATGAACATTTGGAATCCAGGTCCGCAGTGTGCATCTGAAATAATAAACGGGGGAAAAGGAGGCCCTTTGAAGCTTAGACGGGGGGGACCATGTTACTGTGTTGTTGTACTTAGATTGTATGAAAAGCCTCTATGTCCTTATATACAGTCTGTGTTTGCACTGCAGTGTAGGCTTACTGCTGTGTGTATGTGAGCAGCATTTCAAGGGCCAGCGTTTGTGGCCTCGAGCAAGTGTTTGGGATGCCGACAGTCTCATGGCCTGATCTTCTTTTGAAGTAAATTATACTTTCCTTAAAAGTTACATAGTTCCAGTTTTTGGCTTTCAGAGGAAGCTGCGGATCCATAGCTAGATCACCCACGGAAAAAGTCAGGTATTCTGCAGGGCCAAATCTGTTAATGTCCCCAACTCTAGTCTAATGAGTATATAACATATAAATTGGGGAAATCTATATATCTGATTTCTCTTTAATGCGTGAATATTTCAAGACATGCATTCGTGTCCAGGACGTTAATAGTCAATCATTTGTGCAACAATAAGCTTCTGTCCGGCCTCGTGTTGATGGGGATCCCCTATGAACCCACCCATCCATTCCTCCACCCACTGGTGAAAGCGGGGAAGTTGAAACTGAGCGCACAAGGATCTGCGGACTGCCAGGCCCTGCTTTATTTAAAAAAAAAAAAAAATAGAAAGACCCCAGGTCATTTTATTCATTATCGACGTTTACCGTGTACCTCATTTGTTGTCCAGTGAATTATTTATCAAATGAAAATTCTAATATTTATTCCCTGCAAATCATCAGTCTCCCGGCCGAGGAGCGATAAAGGAGTGGGCGGATTGGGGGTGGGGGGGCGCAGTCATCATTTAAGAAATCCCTGGTAGGACGCATGCGTGTGGATTTTGAAGAGCATACGCCATATTGAATTCCCGTAGGAATCAGCTAGCGAATTTTCCAGCTAGCGGTGTAAAAGGGGGCCACTTTATCAATGGTCCTAATTCGGTTTAATGTTCAAACGCGTCTGTTCTCGTAACCCCGGACAGCGTAGCGACCTTTGAAAGGTCCGAGAAGCGGCGCAGGTTCATCACGGGCTCGGAAGTGTTAGTTAGGGACTTGTCGGGGGGGTTACCAGAGAAAGAAGTTGAATGGATCCGAGGGTAGCTTGGATTCAGCCCGAACAGAAAGGACCTGCGAACGCCTTATGGATGCACGTCTGGGAGACCTCTCAGGGAGTACGGACTCTCTCCGCTCAGCAGCAGCTCCACAATCAAAACCACAACCAGTGTGTGAGTTACGCGGTTTTAAAAAATGTGGCGACCGCCGTGGCTTCGAGCAAGAGCATCTGCAGCAGCAACGGTAACGTTACAGGAAGCCTGAGCAACGGCAGCAGCCATCGTAGCATCACGAACGGCGCTGCACACAGTAGTAGCGGTAACGGCAATGCGATTCCTCCGCTGGGGAGAGCACTGTCCAACAGGAACGTACACAACTCTTTAACCCCGTCGAACATCAGCGAGCCAGGTGAGGGGAAAACTG